TAATAAGATGAATGAAAATAAAAGAAATGAGTAAATAATTAATTACTTTTTAATGATAAAATATTAGCTATTTAAATATTAAATTAATTACATTTGAAATTTTATCAAAATTAATTCAAAATTTCTTAATAAAAATTACGAAAATATAATTTAAATGACTTTTTTAATTTTAAATTATTGATGAATTAACAAAATATTTAATTATTACATAAAATCTAAATATATACAATATGTACTATATAAAATATAATTTCTTATATGTAAAATATAATTTAATAATAATTACATAAAATTTTCTAATGAAAATTTCTTAAAAATTCTTTCAATTAAATAAATGATAAATTTATTTTTATAGTTTCTTGTCATCAGCTTAGGATCATATATGACAAATTTATTTTATTATTTTAGCCTTAGTATAATAATAAATAGCAAATTATTATTGTCAACATAAATTATGCGAATATAGATGATCATGCATATGCATATAGTAGTTAATTCCTTACTATTTGTTTTTAAAGTATTTAATCCTTAGTCGTTAATTATCTTATCATGGGAAGATATGTTCCAAGTGCTAGTAATATGTTCTGTTTTTTAATTAGTTAAATTCTTTTAAATTATAATAAAAATATATTCTTATGATTTTTCTAATATGATTTTTTACACTGCATTACAAAATAATAATATATAGTATTAGTTTAAAAAGATAAGTATATATATATAGTTAAAAAGAAAAGTTATAGTTTAAAAATATATAGTTTAATAAGAAAAGTTTAAAAAGAAATAAAATAGTTTAAAAAGAAAAGCAATATTTATGAATATTTATTGAAGAAAATTTTTTAAATACAGTAATAAAATACACGAATTGTAATACACTTATATATATATATATATATATATATATACATTAATATATTATATTCTTATTTTATTTTATGTGATTAATAAGTTTAGATAAATTAAATGGATCTATCTCATTTCATCTTTTAACACAAACTTAAATTGATTGTAATTTATAAGTTTTAATTAATATTTTTGTATGCTAATCTGTGTTTTAACTTTAAAGAAATGCTTAAGGAATGAATTTTGGGG